AATGCCCTAACCACTAGGCTGCCACTCCCCAAAACAGCCATTAGCGTAAAGGCTCTTGCCCAAGGACCCACACTGGCAGCTAATTCCCCCCAACAGGGATACAAACCTAGGCTTCCTGTTTGCAGGACGTGTGACTGACCACTTGAGCTTGCCAAGTGGTATTAATTTAATTGATGATAATCAAATTCCTCCTAAATGGATCTTTACTAAATATTTCTGAAAGTTAGTATAGTTGAAGATGTTCTTTTTCCAGGTGAATCGTCAAAATAAGTGGTCCTCCTAATTGTCAATCATTTTGGTGATATGTTTATATAAGGCCGTCCTATGTGTTCAACCCCATTTCCACTTACCTGTGGTCAGTCTGACATCGTGGAAAAATTGCCAAACTTCTTTTGGAAAGTAAGCTTGTATGGGCGATGCAAACAGCTTCTTTTAAAAAGAGTAATGGGCTCGTGCATGCTTTCGCACGAGTTTAATAGGTGTTCCCTCTCAGGAGCAGGTAAAGAGTTGTGCATGGGCAGGTCTTTTCAAAAATTCACATAAATCCTTAGAAAAAAATATGTAAAAACATTGCAATGATTTTAAGGGCTTTTAGAAAAAAATGCTGTTTTCAAATTAGAGTAGGTAAAGCAGAAACCATTCTGTCATCTTTACAAAAAACTGTTTACCTTCCCACACCAGATATTAATAAAAAATGTGATTTAATTTGAAGAGTACCTTAAAAAGCTCTAACACTTTGTAAAACTCAGTGGTGGATATCCATAATTTATTATCTCAGCCACAGTTTTGTTGTCAGTGTGTATTTGTGAGTAAAACATATTAAACAGAACCACGTGTTCAGACTGCATCTTTAAAATCACAGCTATGCAGAAACAAACAAAAAGGCTGCAAATTACCCTTATGTGCTTCTTTTTGTAAATTTAGCGTCAGTTTGATAAAGAAGGTAAAAAAAAATGCAAAGACCCTTTAGTCAATAATCATAACTTAGACTAGAATGTCTGAATGGTTTATTAGAATAAGAAAATGAACACAGAGCAAAGTCTCCATGCGGAGTGACAGGCAGAACTCAGGACATTGTGGCGGATGGCAAACAACTGTTGGAGTCAGTCAGTTTTTCATGTGTTTGTGTGTGTGCAGTGCAGCTGTTTAAGGGTGCATGCATGTGTTGGAGTGGTTGCTGTGTGACATAAGACACATTTGTTTTCAGACACAAGAGCACACACCTGCATGTACGGTACAAATTCACACATCGCTACTTCAGTACACACACACACACACACACCCACACAGAGGCTGTATTCTCATGCAGCTACTGCACTGAAATTACATGTAAGCATTTAGGTTATGTACACATAGCGGGGACATGTGTTGCCATCTGATAACAGCCACACTCAAGCCCCCACTGCCTTTAACTCACCCGTTTGGGCTGACGAGAAGTGGGGAGGATCAGCCTCTGAAGAAGGCTGCAGGGTGACGGGGATCCTTCACATTCACAGGAGACCTCACATTAATCTATATAAGTTAATTAACTTCCTCTGTTCTGGTAATTCTGCTTTAAAACTGGACACAACACTTCAGTGCTCAAAGTACCGCTTCATAGTAATAATAATAACAAGAGTGATAGTCATCAGGTTCAGCTTCTTTGTAATAATTGAAAAAAAAAAAAAATGGCACGCCAAAGAATTGCAAATTAAACCATACACATCCCATACGAGTTATTAACCAAATATCCACCACAGAAAAAAACAAGAGTAAAAAAAAAAAAAAAGCAAAGAAAACTTTATGCATTTACAAGTTTACAAAAAATGCAAATTCACTGGAATCTTGCTTTTGTGCTCATCCCTCTCACACATTGGCTTGGACGGGAGCCGCTGGGGGAACACATCTCCCTGCTTTTAGTCCCTGTCTCTCAACTATTTAAAGAGCATTACGAAACATACAGTACAGAGGGGGCAGTTATCAGCACTGCAGGGTTACACGTTTGAAAAAAACAAACAAAAAAACAACAACCCCAACACACAGATGATGCGGTGTGTTCGGCAAAACCAGACACACAACCTGATAAACAACAACACAGAGAGCGTAACTACTTTTGCAGGGCAAAAGCATCTACGCCTGCTGGGAGTTTTTCACATTTTGCCACATTTAAAAAACAAACCTGGAATGTTGTGTATTAGACAAACACAGTGGTGCATCGCTATGAAAAGAAAGGAACATGATAGCAGTTTCAAAAAGAAAATCTAAAAAGAACAATTTGAATGAGCAATCAATCCCCTGGTACCATTTACTTCTAATACCCCGTATGAATTCTAATAGCCCTCAGAAATCACCTGGAGTAAATGGGGTAATTTAATCATAGTAAAAATACAGCTGAGCTGTTAAGACCACAGAGATTTGGTTGAGAGCATCAGGAACAAAGGCTTTCAGGAGAGAGTTGGTCAATCCAAATCTGGCTCAAAAGCCTTGGTTCATTGAAAAAAGCCACAGGAAGTCTCATTTTCAGTTTGACTATAACCCAGTGGGATACAGGGGTGCTGCTCACATTTAATAATTTCTGTTTCTGGAGAAAAATTAACAGAACAGTTAACCTGCAGTAGTGACAGCATTGGGCTGTGGAGATCATTTTGGTAAGTATGGACAGGGAACCTTATTAAAGTAAAAGTGAAGTTGAATTTAAGGATAAATTTCAAAGGATGGAAGGAATGCATGAGAATGTGATGGAGGGTATGAGACCAAGTCATAACACACAGCCACCTCTGAAGGGATGAGGCTTTGATCAAAACATATTCACATGCTGAAACGACAGGTTTAAATCTAATTGAGAAGTAGCAGTAAAACTTGGAAATTACCGGTTATGAAAACTCTCCTGCCAGTCTCAGAAAGTTTAGGTTATTTCCAGGGAAAGGATGGGCAAAGCAATATTTGTTTTCTTTATTCACAGATCAGACAGCAAGAGGTGCTTCAACAAAGCACAGACTGAGGGACAGTGACTATAAATGCTCATCCTTCATTTTAGTTATTTATTTTTTTAGCGATATTCAAGATTAACTTTCTATTTATGGTCTGAAGTTTTTTATTCCATCATAGCAAAACCTCTATAGGGTATGTTAACGTATGCAAAGCACCGTGGATGTGCACACGTAGAACAAAAAAAAAAACCCTCTTTAAACTAAATAAGTGACAGAAAAGAGAAGCAATTTCCCGCATGAGAAGGTTAAGAAATGTTTGAAAGAAAAAGTTTGGCATGAAGGATTTGAGGTGAATGAAAGAGGGTGAGAGGATGGTGGTGGAGGGGGGTTCTCTGATTTCTGTTTCTGACTCATTAAATTAACCTACAGACCTTTAACAGGGAAAAACACAATGAGAACCCTGGTTTTTACTAAAAGAAGATAATACAACTGTGTTCCCAGTTGAAGGGGCTTTAAAAAAACAAAGAGCAGCTGTTGGAAGATGAGGGAAGGGAATTAGGTGAAGTATGGAGAGAAAAGGGAGAATGAAGGCTTTAATAAACAGACTTCCCTCTATGAGATTATACCTAAATTCTTTAGCTGACTTGTAATGTTGAACTTAAGTAATCAAATTGTGCTGTCAGTAAGATAACATCATGACGTACACTAGCTTTATTTGAACCGGCCCCTGTCGAGCTCCAGCTACGTCTCAGATTTAATTCAATTGCTTTCCCCTATTTGTCAAATGCGGTACTTGTGTTTCATGTGTGTCTGTGTATGGGGCTGGTGGCCTATAAGGAGAACAAAAGCACTGTTTGAACGAATAGTCCCTCATGGACAACGTGTCCGCAGCAATCTTCTCAGGGGGCACATCAGGCCATTAGAGGGGCCGGGCATGTACTTTGCCTAATCAAGCATGTTTAGTAAAACACCAGGAGAGATGTGGAGCGAGGACTCGGATGGGTGGACACGCCACGCAGAGATAAAGAGGCCACATTTACAAACACGCGCATATAAAGAACAAGAAATGGGAACACGGATCGAGATGAGAGGCCGAGCTCACAGAGTGAGGCAATCCTCAACACTAATGACCCATTTCAGGGTTAAATGTGTAAAGGATACACTGTGCTAATGTGGCAAAAGAGTAATGTACCGGTATTACCATTAAATTTGCTTGTTTGACCTCCCAGTCTTGCTCTTGCTCTTATAAATCTCTTTAACTGCATTGCCTTGTATATGACCACTGGTGCTTGCTATATATTTATCGAGGCTATGTTTAACTGAGTTTAATTAAACACTTAACTCTTGTTCAGTCTGTCTAATTTCCTTTGGAGAAATTGTAGATCAAATCCTATATTTCAACAAATTTGTATTACAAAGATCTACCTCTACTGTCTTGCCAGTTTCTATTTTATAAGCAGCTTTAAATTTGGTTTCAAACCTGAAAGAAGCTGGACTTTCCATTTTGCATATTTTATCATAGCACAAGTTTTGCTTTGGCAGTATTTTTCCTGCAGAAAAAGTTGCACAATTTCTATTCAATCTCCAATCCTGCTGGTCTTCTGCAGCAAACATGTTTTCTATGAACATTTTGAAACCTCTCACTGCAAGCCTACACTGTGGCACAATATTTTGCCTTTTGACATTTTCAATGAGCAAATTTCTTGCTTGGAGGGTTGCTGTTTGAAAAAAGTTTAATGGCTTTTACCTGTGTTTCCAGTTCTCCTGACTGTCTGAACATTAATCTACTAAATGTAATGACAAGGCAGACAATATCCATCAGGGCACAATCACCTTTATCAGTGACAAAATGTGAAAAACTCCAGGGATGTGAATACTCTTGCAATGCAGTGTACATTAGCAAGTGTCCACACAAAGCCATGACACAGTTAGCATCTCTAAGAATAAGGCGGACCAAGATGAAATTATAGGAAGGGTGGGGCGAGAGAGAAACTGATCACAGCTGTTTCTTGCACTTAATATGAGCAACACAATGATGTAAACAAGCCCTCAGAGACTCCCTCATACACAAACCGACAGACGCAAACAGAGGTAAATACCACCTTTTACTGAACACTGACCCAGATGGATTAAAGCTAAGCATATCTACATTTGAATCAAGAACAGATGAAAGAGGACAAAAAACATAAAACATGAAAAGACCAGACAACAGAGTGAAAGAGAAACTCCACACCCAAGTGAATGCATGGCCATCTGTTTTCTTATCCAGCTTTTGTTGGGATACACACCAAGAAGAAAGAAAAGGAACGAAGCCTCATGGGCTGACCATTGTGATGCTTAGCTGTGTCCTGACACTGACCCATACCGCAGCTCTGGGCCTTAGACCCTCTCTACAATGCCCAACAAGTGATTCACCTCAACTGGTGATCCACAGGAAAGGCTTGAACCTGACTGGATGATGCTGAACTCTCCTCATTGCTGTTCTGCTACACTGTGGTGAGTCAGATCCCTAACTCTTAATTGTTATTTGTGGCCACAGTTTCTTCCTGCGCCTGGGGCACAAAGAGGCTCAGTGTCGGGCAGAGGAGAGTGAATGGAGCTCCCAAGCGGCCGAGCCTCTCTACCTCAGTCAGATCATCAGACAGCAGCAGCTCACATTCCCCTTTTTCAAATGCACTACGGAGCCCAGTGGGGCCTTATTTTGGGTTGGGCGGACTGGTGCCTGTTGATAGGCAGAAACTGTTTGTCTTCATTGTAAAGACTGATTTTATAAAAATACTTAAATTTTCTTTTTAATGTCATTGTCATTATATAGCTAATTATTGCTTTCTCTTCCTCCATCATGGCTCTGTACAGCCCTAACTAGCCACTGATCAGCCACTAAGGCTTCTGATTGGTACACACAATTAAAATTACACACAATAAATCCATCTCTTTATAAACAATATTACCATCGATTTCATTATATAGCCATACTTCACAGTTAAGACAGGATGCTGGTTGGGGTTGTTGCCAAACACACCCATATATGATGCAAGATTTCTGTCTTTTTTCAGTCATTGCCCTCTGGCAGAAGTACAATAGTGTTGTCTCATCTTATATCCAAAGTAAAGCACATGTTGTCTGCTGGATGCCACTGGCACAAGAAAACCAACAAGAGACGAAAACATGTCACCAGAAGACCATCCTTGGTGACTTGTCAATGAACAAAATGGTCCAGGGGGGTCTTTGACATTTGCCGCTGTGAGGAACATTGTCTTTTTTTAAGAATAAAACTTTCAATTATCCTTTACAGAAGGTTCCTCTTTCAGCTTGGCCCCTCTCTCTACCTTCCTATTAGACTCATATCAGAGCTATGAACTGTGGTTGGCATACCACAGATTATGAACAGAGAAATCTCTATGATTTGAGAATTTTCTCAGCCTTTACCCTTTTTTTCTCTGTCTCTCTCTATAGTTTGCTGAATGATGTCAGAACATTAAATGACAGTGAGAGAGGAGAGAAAGGATAAGGTAGGATCAGGACGGTGAGTCAAAGGGGTTGATATTTTCCAGTTATTTGTTGGCAGGAATGGGATTTTCAGAGAGCTTGGTATCAATGTTCACCCGGCATCAACTCATTGGCCACTAGGGGTGTGCTCACTGATGTTCTTCCCAAGAAGGTGGCTGAATTCAGCCAGATCTCCAAGACCTCGAGGCCCATGCACTTCTGGCCTGATGAGACCCTGGCGCTGAGCGTAATAGGGAACGCCATTGTTGCTGTTGTAGTTGAGGGCCTCATGACTCCAACGAGGCTCTCCGTAGTCCACATGTGGGGTGGGAGCGGAGACCACCCTACGGCGATCAGGTGAATCCTGTGGTGTGGCAGGATAGATATATTCCCCCGCTGAGTTCCTCAGGCTACCAGTGGGACGACTGCCTCCGTGCTCTCCTCTTTGAGTGGCAAGAATAAGGTAACGCTGGCGATCTGAGTGTGGGGGAAGCACCACTTCACCGGGGTCCTCTATCCGTACCAAACCTCCTCCTCCTCCTCCTCCATGCAGAAACTTGGAACTCAAGTAAATGACTGCATTGTTGGGACAAGGGTTTCCAACAGAGGTGAGGAAGGTCTGGCTCTGGTCCCAGTCAGTGTCTGGGAGACGCATGACTCTTTTTTGCTGCAGCGGCGTCTGCTCAGGAGTTGGCAGTAAACCTGGGTCCATCTCTCCTTTAGGCCAACCATTGGGCATAACAAACAAGTTATCTGGCTGCGAGCGCCGTCTCTCGCCTCCACTTGTTCTGGTGACACTCATCACTGACCCACTGCGACCCGGTCCCAGCATGCTCTGCTCTTTGTCGTTCTTGCGCCGGGCGCCGTTGGCACCAGAACCACGGGAGTTCCTATGGCGGTGGCTCATGATCCAGCAGACAGTAAGTCCAGAGAGAATGGCTCCTGTGGAGAAGGCTGAAACAGCCGACACCACCAGCAGGTTTACAGACACCAGGCCGTCTGGCTCCTCGATGAAACTCTCCTGAAACAGCATGCCTAAAGACAAAGAAACACAGACAGAGGAATCATCAGTCAACTGGTGGAACCATCTTAATGGTGTAAGTATTTCCTGCATTTAACTTGTGGGAGCTAATGAATAGCCAAATAAAACAACTTATTTTTTCTCCCTTCCCTCTGTGGGTGGGAATGAGCATATGTTTTTCAACCAAGGTAGCTCTGGTTAATTGCCTTCATTACATAAAGTGGATAGTGATTTTAATGGCTATAATAACTGTCTTCCTGATTGAGAATGGCTCTCAACCGTCACATGTTTGGCAACATTAGTTTTAGGGGAGAAAAGGCAAGTCTACAAGTAATGGTGAGTTAAAAATCAAATGTCTACATACAATAAAATTGACCCTGTTTACAGTATACAACAGAAGTGAGGTCAACCGTTTGGGATTTCATCTACAATAATTCAGGTACACAAAATTACATTGTGTCTAACTGCATTACATCTAAAATGAAAAAAATCGAATAATTACTTTCATAAAGAAAAGAAAATAAAAAAGCCATGGAGCAAAAGATACACACCCTTTTGTTTTACATACACAAAAATAATTAATTATTTGTATATGTACATTTTCAAAGTGAACAAGATACATAGTACCTTTATAAAATGCCTAGAGAAATGCAGCCCTATGCATTGTTTGAAAAGCTATATATTGTTTCATGCATATCATTTTACTGGCTTCACAAATGACTATAGTTGTAATCAGGAGGTAAAGAATAGCCCACCAAACTAATGATCAGAAATCTTGAGGTGTTTTTTTCCCCGAAATAATGAAACACAACATGGATCATGTATTTCTTTCCATGGCATTAGCAAAATTTAATCAGCAAATCTAAGATTAATTATATGAGTATCAATTAAATATATAGATTTTTTAAAGAAGTGGATATAATTATTTCCTGATATGATAAATATTTCATTGTACTACATTGAAGCACATCACTAATTACTCTAAACTGTCACACATCCATCAAAGTCAAGAAAACCACAGATGTCTGATTAGCTGCCTCTCACTGAGCAAGATGAGACGTCTTGGTTTTCTTTTACTTAAAAAAACTAGAAAACTATTAAATACTGTTCTAAACATGTTTCCGTTTATTTACAGCATATTGGGTAAGCATCTCCAGCCTCTAAATCTGTAGTTTGCTCTCAGAATCTTTTGAGAGCATGCGATCAGTGTTAGTCAGTAGGCGGGGCTAACATTCATTGTGCTGGAGTCACTGGCAGCTTCCAACATTCTAGACCACAGCAAGTTCTCTCATAAGCTTATTAGATATATTTCAGACCTAATTAGGGGTATAGAGGCTGGAGTTGCTCACTCAATGCACTGCAAGTAAATTTTAACATGTTGTTGAAGTTATTTCAGAAATTATCAGCAATAATATTGCCTTTAAAATAATAAACAAAACACCAAGAAATAACTTGTTACATCTTTGTCAGTGAGAAGCAGCCAATCAGATGTCAGGTTTTCTATGCAAACAGCTCTAGACCCGCCTCCTTTACTTTAATGAATGTGTAACATAAAAAAAAAGCCATGGCATGCTTCAGTGAAAGTATAAAGTAATCTATTACATCATGAAATAATCATACTTACTTATGATTAAATATATTAATCACTATATAGATAATTAATTCTATATCAATTTCCATCCATCCATCCATCCATCCATCCATCCATCCATCCATCCATCCATCCATCCATCCATCCATCCATCCATCCATCCATCCATCCATCCATCCATTTTTGGACTGTTGGAGGAAGCTGGAGTACCAGGAGAGAACCCATGCATGCATTGGGAGAAAATGGAAACACCCCAGGAATCAAACCCAGGACCTTCTTGCTCCAATGCAACCGTGCTAACTGTACAAACCTTGTAACCCTGTATTTATTTTCTGTTTTATTAAATCAATGATACATAAAAAAAATGATTCCATAAGTTACCTATTTATTGTGTTGTGGCACTTGTCATTTTCTATATCAGTGTTTCCCAAATGGGAGTTAAGCGTACCCCTAATGTTCTGCGTGAGCATTGCAAGGGGTACATGAAAATATGTTATTTCTTAGATTGTAAAGTAAAATGGGGCTCTGATCTGTTTTGCTTTGTGGGGACCCAACTGAAAAAAGAAACAAGCTTTTATCAAACAAAAAGTAAGTTTTTCTCAAATGTTTGAATTCACCTTCAGCTGTGACACACATCCAAACCAAGCAGAGGAACAGACTGGCTCTAGAGAACAGTCTGGGATCAGCTGTTTTTCACATTGAGCTATCGGAGCTCAACAAAGCAGCTCAGGTGTCTTGATGAAAACAAAGTTAAACTAATTACGTTTTTTTTTTTCTTTAGATTTTACGGCACTAGGGGCTCGTTTTTCCGACAGTAGGCTGACAGGAAAGGGGGTATGAGAGAGAGGGAGAGACATGCGGGAAAGGACCACAGGCTGGATTCGAAGCCGGTCGCCCGTGTCGAGGACTAAGGCCTCCGTACATGGTTCATGTGTACTAACCACTGCTCCACCTACACACCAAACTAAATAAGTTTAATTGAATAATTAATTGAAAAATGCAGATCAAGAGAGTTACTCAGAGGAGCTCCAGTTTTATAAATACAGGTGTATTATATGATTTTATTTTGCATTTATTTCAATTCCTTACTAACTTCCAGGCAACATATCTATATTTTTTTTTTTAATTATTTGAGATGGAAAGCATAAAATTATAAAGATCGAATTCTCAAATTAAAAGATTAAGTAAAATAGTCTTTATTTCAGTTATTGTACATTTCATTTTTGGACATTCATCAATACTTTTGACTGAAAAGGGTACTTATGGTAAGACAAATTGCCCAAAGGGGAACACAAGTAAAAACATGCTGGGAAAGACTGCTGTATATGCATGAGCTAAAGGAATTTTTTTTATCAAAGTTCAGAGCATTTATAATGTGATGATGGGCAGTGCAAATTACTTTGTAAAATTATAATTTCTTTCATATCAATCATAAAAGTACAAAAATATTGTAAATCCAAAAGTATTATCTTTGAAGATAGATGGCATTCATCCTGCTGAGGAAATATAACTATTACAGTAATATAAATGGTAATGAAACAAGGGACATGTGGTTACAGGAATACTGTAGCATTAAGATCAAATGCTGCTTTCACAAGTACTACAATTACTGTGAGCAGTTTAAATTATTTCAACCTCTTAGAAGATTCCACTAGTTCACTGTAGAACATTTTTATATAGTCAATTATGTTGGAACTATTTTGTCTAATGTCGAATCTGTACAATTTTGGTTTGTTTTAGCTTAAGCTTTTTTTTTTTTTTTTTTTTTACAAAATATTAATATGAAAGCATTTTTTATTATTTTACTGAAATAATAATTAACTGCACTTCTGTAAGCCAAGAAATATGTAAAGTTATATGTAAATATGTTAAGTTTTTTAGATAAAGGACAACAGATCTCCATATGAAAGAATGTTTTATCTTTATATAAGTGTATTTAATGAACTCTATCTATGAGAAAATGCTTATGAATTATTGAAGACATGCATACAGTGAAACTACAGGACGGGCGGCCATGGATCAATTAGAAAAATGCCAGAGGAAGAAAAAAAATGTTTTTTTGGCTCAACAAGCTCCTGGGACCAACAGTGGCGAATACAATGAGGCTGTGCCAAGGGAAGCAGATTGGAGAAAAGCAAATGAGGAAAAGAAGAGTGAGTTAGAAAGAAAGAAGGATAGATAAACAGAGAGAGAGAGAGACAAAGAGTTGCCTAAAGCAAACTTAAGCATTTGGGGCCCTAGACAAACAGTAGTAATAGTTGCTAAATTACAGCAGCAATAGCAGCAGAGGCAAAGTGTCTCCTCAAGGACAGGAAAATAAATCCTTTTTCATAGAAAATTAATGGCTGTCATTAATAGGAATTGGAAACCACTTACTCACTAACACACTATGCAAAAGCGAGGCCAGAGCGTATGAGAAGGAATTAAAATCTGTGAGAAAATGATACTTTTCTAAATAAACAAACATTATTTATTTTTTTTATTTGATGAATATATTTTTAATGGGGACATGGGGAGTTGTTTGTGTAGAAGACCGTGCAGTGAGAGTCGGCCTGGTGGGTAATTAATGTGGCCTGTGGCTTTGTAATGTAAAGTGTTACTCTAGACTCATCGACATTAAGCTGAGGAATGGTAGATTAAACCCTATGAAAAACCCTTAAACCGCTGTGCCTCACCAGAGGTGATGTTATACATTTTAAACCGTTAATATGCACAAGAAGGAAGCTCGTAAATTAATGGTGATACTATATTTATGGGACCATATTTGAGAGTGAACAAGGGAAACTGCAATGACCAAACCAGCAGGTGTAACAACAGAGTGAAGAATAAGCAATCTACAAAATCTACAGAAGCAGATTCAAGTAATGTAAATATTATCCTTAATGTAATTTAGTGTAATTACCGTAGAAGCTCAACGATATACAGAGATACTGCTTAGGATTCAAACCACAGCTGCATCCTGTGGCCTCAGAGCTGCTTGAACATCTCTAATGACAACAGCCACATATAAAACAAAAAAAAAGTAAAAACCAACTGTTTGAAATGTAAAAGAAACATCAAAAGCATGATAGATTTCTTAGTATATTTAAAAAAACTGTTAAAACAACACAAGTCAATAAAAAAGTTAAACATTTTTTTGCTTAAACAATAAGCTAAAAATCTAAGATTGAGAATCATTGTTTCTGCCTGTAAAAAATACAATATAATTCTTGATTTTTTTGTGTGTCAAAAAATGGTGCAGACAACGCAATATATTCTTTCAGGGTTCCTTGTGTAATTTACAACCATAGAAAAAAAAAAACAAAAGACACGTGATGCAGAGTTTACCCAAACATAAAAAAGCCGGATGCAGAGTGAAAAACTCTCAGTTATTTATTAACTGTCAAATATCTCCGCTGATCTGTAGAGCCAATGTCAACTTTA